TATCATGTTACCTCCAAAAGACATGGGGCCAGAGAGAACAGACGTAAATATACTGATGCTCATGCTATGTGCTGTGCCATGAGTAATAAAGTCTTCGTTTCTGACCCAGGAGTCTCATGGCTTTTGCCAGTATCTATGAAACAGTAACAGGCCCACTATTAGGCTAAGGGTAGCTTGTTAGGTTAAGGTTAGTTTGCAAGTGATAATTTGGAGCTGAAATACATGCCAAACCGTGTGGCCTAGTGTGGGGTTACCTCCATCCGCAAGAAGGGGCACATTTTTCTAATTTGCATAAACTTACCACATCTCACTAAGTCATGAGCCTACATAGGGGTGCTGGGATGGATGGATGTGTTTATATATACCTCTTTAGACTTTCCATGAAGTTATCCTATGAACAAAGGTACTGATGACCTGTGATCCCTTGTTTATCTTTTCCCCCTGGGTGTCTGTTCAGCCCTCGGGGGTTCTATTCAACTGTCCAACAGAAGCTGTGAATTAAAGAACTGACCTGCTTCACATCAGCCTCTTGGATGTGTAGACAATGTTTTGGACTCTGCAGATTCTGCGACCAAAGAGAATCCATGAGCCCTTCCACACTGGAGTTGTGGAATGCTGGGTCAGAGTTGGTGTAATAGGTTTAGTGGTTAAGGATGATTTGCTCAGCCTGATCTTGTCATTTTTTGTTTTTCTTGGGAATATGGTCTGTTTATAAAAGAACTTTTGGCAACCTGAATGCGTCAAAAGTTTTCACTCATTTTGGCTAAAAGCAGTAGGCTTCAGATGTCCATATTAAGGTCATAAAGCAAAAACCAATATGGAAAGCCATAGCTAGAAAATAAATTTCTATCCAGTGCTTTTGATTAACCCCAAAATCCTTGTTTTTCAAATTCATGCAAGGTTAAGATTTTCTTGAACTATGAAAATCTCAAACTAATTTTTTTTTTTTTTTTTTGTAGGATGGTAGACTACATGTCTACTATTCTGCTTGGAAAGATCTATTTGTGGGCGCCTGGGTGGCTCAGATGGTTAAGCGTCTGCCTTCGGCTCAGGTCATGATCCCGGGGTCCTGGGATCGAGTCCCGCATCGGGCTCTCTGCTAGGCGGGGAGCCTGCTTCTCCCTCTGCCTCTGCCTCTCTCTCTCTCTCTCTCTCATGAATAAATAAATAAAAAAACATTAAAAAAAAAAAAAAAAAGAAAGATCTATTTGTTACTTAATCTTCTACCTCTTTCTGAATTTTTGCTCTTGACTACGTTTCTTTTTCAGTCAAACCACTGTTGTTCCTAATTAGAAATTTAAATTACATCTGCTGCAGTTTGTACACACCAGGGGATATATTTATGTAATACTTTTAGCCAGCCAAGATATTTTTCATAACTTTAGCATAACATTTTTTCATAAAGTGCTTATTGATGAGACGTTGTAAAAATTGTGCAAGAATGGACACAAGAGAAGCAGTTGTGTAGCTCAGGAGAGACCTCACAGGAAAAACATTCCTTAAATATATTTTTCTTTTATATATTTATTTATTTTTTATGGTGCAGGAACACATTTTCTTGCGCTATTCTTTATATATTCTCCCTTAGTATGTCTCATGGGTGTGTGCTGTTGGAAAATGAAAATAATCTTACACATTGTGATATTTCATTAAATTTCAATGAGGCAATTAAGGAAACTCATTTTCAAAGATATACATTTATTTCAGTGACTTGAATGTTGCTTAATCAGGAAATGCCCAGAATACTAAATATAGGTAGGTTGGGCTTGTCTAGATCAGCGTCTTTGAGAGTCAGATTGTTGAAAGGGAAGATATGCAGGTTAAAACAGCAGAGGCCCTTGCTGTGGGTGGAAACTAATTGGCTGAAAACATGAATAAATTATACTTGTTATTCATGTCAAGAGCAAGAGAGGAGAGGAGGGACGAATATTTGTATCTACCAAGGCCTTATTTCTGCCACATGATAAAAAAAAAAAAAAGATCCTTAGATGTAGGCTCCTCTTCCTATGTAGCAAGTCAGAGGAATAGAAGCTCAATTTCTTGCCATGCTTTCTTCTGAATATTATGTTTCAGATTTGGCATGTTCAGCCAAGAAAATGTTACTAAGAAGGTTGCTAAGGAATTCTGTAACATGAAACATTTATTCCTCGGACCTCTGTCCTTGAGCCTGGGGTTGTGTTAAAATGCTTTCAATTAAAAGGCTCTGAATTTAGGGTTGGATAGTTCTTTCCCTCTTTTCATGGTCCTTCACTGTGTCTGGGTACTTGTAGGCTACACGTATTACAATAGATTGACTGCAGTTCTAGTCCTAAAACTAAAGATTGTGGTATGATGTTATCAGACTTAAACGTCTGCAGATTAGATATTGTAGAGTAAGATCTTTTACAAACGGATTGATGTTTCTTTCCAAATCTTTCACAAAATTTGCATACGGGAGGCCTATGGAACTTGGAAAATTTTCTTTGAAGCATCTGTTAGTAAAGTCCTACCAAAGAAACACTTCTTGTGCCATTTGGGATCCTGTCTTTTAAACTTCAGCTTGCTATACCTCTCTAAAGATTTCTACACCCCTGGGGGCTCTGTGACGCTCCCCCACCTTGGATCTCTACTTAACATCATCCTACTTTGACACTTGTTTGGGTATTCTTTTTTTTTTTTTTTTTAAGATTTTATTTATTTATTTGACAGAGAGAGAGAGAGAGAGGGAACACGAGCAGGGGGAGAGGGAGAGGGAGAAGCAGGCTTCCCACCGAGCAGGGAGCCCGATGCGGGGCTCGATCCCAGGACCCTGGGATCATGACCTGAGCCGAAGGCAGATGCTTAACGACTGAGCCACCCAGGCGCCCCTTGTTTGGGTATTCTTGTGGGGTGCTCCTGTGGCTTCATAAATTGTTCCAAACTAAAGTCTAAGCTCCGTTAAAGTGGTTGGTGTCTGTTTTTCCGTATTTCCCCTCACTCTTCAAAAGCCCCTTAACACAAGTCCATAAATAGGTGCTCTAGTTAAGTAGATTACTCTGGAAGTCTATCAAGAGGGTGCGATAAATGACAATCATACTGTATGCTTTCTGTATTGAGCCGAAGAGTTAGCCGCAGATGCGCAATAGGTCTAAGACAAAAGTCCTGGGTTTGAGTCTAGCACCATCACTTAATTAACCTCGTGACCTTTGGCAGATGATTTAATGTCTATGTCTTTATCAGCGATTTAATCCCTAAATTCCCTTAAGTCCAAGGGTTTGAGGATAACTTGATTGATCGAGAGCAACGGTTCTCACAGTGTGAGAACAGGGACATTCCCCGGGAACAGTTAAAAATGCAAGTTCTCCAACCCCACCTCAGACCTCCTGAATCAGGAACTCTGCGCTTCAACAGACCCTCCAGGTGATTGAGGCATGCTGAAGTTTGAGAACTAATGATCTTTGTAGAGTCAAATCCCTGGTATGGCGAGAAGCTCTGTATCATAATGTTAGTGGACATTGAGGATTATGCAGTCATGTCACGGCTGGCATTTAAATCTAGTGCCTGTGTTTCATCTTTAAGGCTCTGTACAATGGCTCACCACTGCATCATAGTCAAGTGTGCAGCTATTACCCACAGAATTGCAGCTCCCAAGCTCCTATGAACTGCTGGCAATTGAGGAGTGAAAAATCTTTCTAAGGTGAACAAAGAATATGCAATGGACAAGGGATTAATTTCCAGTAGCAGCCTCCTAATTTTGTATTCATAACGTCGTATGCATGGTGAGGCTACCAATGCAATGTCTGTATATCAATACATTAGGTAATTGGGCATCTTGCAGCCCCATTTGCATGCAAAGGTGGTTGTACACTTCCCATTTACAAGTCTAAAATTAAAGCCCAGTTTGAAGCAGGCTGAAGTCTTGCCGCTAGGAAAATAATGAGATAAGGAAGAAATGACTTCTGTTAATCAGCACTTTGGCCTCTACTGTTCAGTCTTTGCTAATTTGTCCTTTGAAATTGTACATTCTGCGTTGAAGAGACAGAATTCTAAGAGTATCTGGGTTTTTTTTTTTTTTAAACCCTACGTTTATAAGCTGATAGTGTTTATCCATAGCATTTCCCCTAAAACTGGACCCACACATATGTTGCAATCTGTTGCTGCCCTAGATTTCTGCTCTGTGAAGTATTTGTACTCTTGTGGGACTACATGCATCATCTCAAAGAAGAGCAACCCCCTCCCCCCCCCCCCCACAGATTTACAGACTGGGTCTGTGGCATCATTTCATTTTAGTTCAGCCCACATTCATCAAGCAGCTACTTTGTGCCACGTATCGTGCCAGAGGCTGGGTGTGTACAGATCAGTCAAGTTTCTGGGTTCTCAAAAGCTCACAATATTTTCACAGCTTCCTGGTATCTCAGTGTTGCGTATTTTTGCTTAAACGAAGTCTTCCCAGATCCCCACCCCATGAATTAAAGTGTTTCAAGCATCCTTCTCTGATTATGTTCTACCTGTGTCCCCAGGAGACAAGGGGACCTAGTGGACCCATGCCTGGAAGAGTCAAAGCCCCAAAGCATAAGATTATGGCCAGAGGGCCACTCATGAAGAGAAGGTGGCTGCTTTGCAAATGGCCTATATTTCCAGGTGGCAGGAACAAAGAATGCAGGAGTGTTTTCTGTACCCCAGTGTGGGTCACAATGGCAGAGAATGCCCATCTAAAGCCCTTTCAAAGGGGCTTGCCCACGAATGCCACCTGGAGGAACAATGGATCCCTACAAAGACAGTTTACCAAGAGCCAACTGTGAGGCAGTCACTGTCCGTCTTCACCAGCTGCTTTATATTTCTATTTTTGGCCATGTGCGTTTGTTTTACTTTGTCAACTAGATTCTAAGCTCCCAGAGAACAGAGCTGCGTCTTAAGAAGATTATCTTCCATGGTACCTATTTGATGGTGACGATCATAAATATATAAGCAGGAAGACTGCCTGGAGGTTTATATACATTAGTAGTTTCTCGTGGTAATCAATGTTTTTCTCTTCATTCCAGCCCAGGTGCATATACTGTCATAGCACCAAATGAAAACCGAAGAAATCAGATACAAAGGAGTACGTATATTTATTCAATCGACATTCAGAACTCTTCTCATCTTCTTATAGAGCAGGATTGGTTTACTTAGGTTTGTAGTATTTTTATGTTCTCATTTGTATAGACTTACCAGATCTTATCAAGTTTTTTTTTTCTTTTTTAACTTTAGCTGCTTTAATTATACCTTTTAAAATTATTCTATTGTTGGTGCTTCTAAATTTGTTTCTCTATGTTAATAGCAGAACTCATAGTGCAATTGTAAATCTCAAATTTCCATTGGCCTAAACTTTTTCACATCTATTGTCCATAAATCTATCTAATTCCCAGGAAATTGGCCTGAGTGCAGATACTTTTAGAGGACTACGAACACTTGTGGAGCAGATGAATTATATATGAAATAGATCATGACCTAATTTGTCCCTTTCTTGATCTGTCCTGCCCCATCCCTTCTTAATAGAATTTTTCTTTGACTTCTGTGCTCCCGTAATTTTGTAAGTATCAGAGTCTACCCTAAGCTGTTTTTATTTGTGTACCTCAGTTTCCTTGTAAGATTACAAGCTGTTTGAGGGCAGGGACTACACCTTACTCATTTTTGTGTTCCTTGTACCTAGTGGGTGTGTAACATATTTGGCTGAAATTATATGGTAAAATAAATGCTGGCATTTAAAGTTACAGCATTATACCTTAGAGGTGGATGGAGAACTGAAGTTCCACTAGTTCACGAAGAAGTTATGAGGCTTGTTCAAGTCAAACTGTGGGGCTAGCCCTGACGTTCTGTGCTCTCCTTTATTAGATCTTGGTAGGAAATTTAATATTGTGGCTGAGAATGGACCTACAGCCACAACAGGAAAGCAGGTCTCTAAATTAGAGACTTGGGTCTCCAGCAGACAGGTAGCCCCCTGGGTGGTACACCTCCATCAGTGCTGAATACAATAATCACAACGATGCAGAGTGATTGTGGGTACTGCCGCAGGTGACCAGCGGAATCCTTAAAAGATTTTAAGGATTTTAAGCATTTTACAAGCTTTTGATTTAAATACTTTCCAGGAATTTAAGCCTTGGTGTGGTCTGGAATTTTGGGATGTTTCAGAAGTTTTGGTTTTTTTCCCTAATAGTTAAAAACTGCCATATATGGACACTTGAAACAATCAGGTCTAAGGGGTAGATTCAGACGTGCCCTGGAAGAACGGTATTAGTATTTTTTGGCGCCCCCTGCTGTCACACAGAGGGTATATTTGGGGAAATAGCACCGCTCCACCGAGAGGAGGCTTTCTGCCTGGTGGTATCCAGCTCAAGGAACCCACGAACCCTCACGCCTCCTAGTCGCAGTAAGCTTGGGGGACATTTAAAATACAGTTAATATGGGCATCAGAATTCTCTGGGGATATGTTTACTGTGTGTGAAGAGTTCTTACCGACATAAGAATACTCTCGTTTTGGGCGCCTGGGTGGCTCAGTTGGTTAAGCGACTGCCTTCGGCTCAGGTCATGATCCTGGAGTCCCTGGATCGAGTCCCACATCGGGCTCCCTGCTCGGCGGGGAGTCTGCTTTGCCCTCTGACCCTATCCCCTCTCATGTGTTCTCTCTCATTCTCTCTCTCTCAAAATAAATAAATAAAATTAAACAAAACAAAACAAACAAAAAACACTTAAAAAAAAAGAATACTCTCGTTTTGCACACATTCTCTAGAGGAAATTAAAAAAATTAATTTGATGTAGGGTTTTAAAAATGCCAGAATGAGAGGAAAAACTAAACTCCTTTATTTTAGTAGGAGTTCAGGTTTGTTTGTTTGTTTTTCCCCCTCAAATCTGAACCTTCAGTTCATACTCTTGGAGAGAAAGTGCCTCGGAGCGGGGGGCGGCGCGTTGGGCCCAGGGTGACTCCAAGGGGCGGCTTCCTTTCCTGGATATTTTGTCCACTTGTGCTTGCATGTAGTTAATTGCCCTCTGATGTTTGTTCCTTAGGCTTTCAAGGGACCTGTTTCCTTTTCACATTCTAATAATTGATGATTTGACATTTCTCACCTGGCTTAGTTGCTGAGCAAGAGCTACAGAGTCTTGAGAAGTGGAAGGAGCAACATGGAGCGAAGCCCGTTAACCTGGCGCCAAGGCGGTTAGGTAACCCAGCGAGTGCCTGAATTGGGGAGCACGGGGCCACCCAGGGAACCTGTTAGTGCCTTGCCTGTACTTGTCTTTGGACGCAAGTAATAGGTTTTTGGGTCACCGTGCTGCTTGGAATGGAATGCATTTAAAACTGAAACTCTTAGGTAGGCAGGTATGTTACTGTTTCTGATCTTCTGCAAGAAGCAAACGTATGATGCCACAGTTATGTGGGAATAAAGTGATGTCTTAATTGCTGAATAATTTAGAGCCTCTTAGATGATCAGCTCTCAAGAAAGCTTACCTGGGGCGCGGCATATGCCTTGTCAGAGCACTAGGCAAGAGGACAGTAAACGCTAGTACAAGCATATTAATCCCGGCAGTATTAAATGCTAATGGGGGAAAAAAAATGAATGGCGATTCAATTCTAAAACTAAGATGAGAATGAGCTGGGGACCCGGTGGTGGGTATAAAGAGAACACCACCTGTGTTTTCATTCTACAGACAGAGAGACCTTTGGGCCTCTGGAGTGCATGCTACTGTGATGAATTGTGTGGGCTGCCTTTGCCTGGTGTTTGAATCATTCAACAGGGATGCCACCTAATGGGAATCATTCACATCCTTTCTTCTCTTTTCTCTTCCAGCAGCATCTGAGAACTGAAAGGTCTGGATACACTGTTCCCACAGATTCAGTTAATACAAATGCCTTAGAGTCAGGGGCTACTTATTGTCGCAATAGTTTTAGAAAAGTAGTTTTTCCAGGATATAGGTTAAAATAAGCTAATTTGGAAATCATTTAATGGGTGAAAGTAATGGTATTATCACCATCATTCCACTGTATTTCATGAAAGGGGTTAATCTCAAGTGTCACCCTTATGCTGAATAAGCCACATTTGAGGGGTATGACCAAGAAATAGCTTTGTCCTTCCTAATGGGCCCCCTCAAACCGGCTACGTGGGACTAGTTTTTCCCATGCTCTTTGGATGAAATTAGATCTTTTTGGTCTTTCTCAAATGAAAGCTGTCCAGCTAATTCTAGGCATTAAACAGTGTCATTTAGTAATTATCTTCAGTCCCAGGTACTAATCAAAACTCTGTTACTAATGGAGATTAAAGTTTCTTCCCTGCTCCAGCCCAGGCCTATTCTGGGTAGAAAACTAGCAAAGGAATTGGGACATGGCTGAATTTTTCTCTATTGACTCCTCTGTTCCCAGATTCTGACCCCTGCTGGGTCAAAGGAGGAGAGAGGGAGAAGAGCGGTAGGATCTGAACTGCACAGATCCTGGTTTCTGAAAGTCTTGTTGAATCCTTACTGTGCATTCTCACCCCTGGGGTTCTTGGGGTTTTTCAGAGTCCCCTTGCCTACCATTCATCCCTCACTGGATTTCCCTGACATACTTTCCTGCTGGTGTGCTTGGCTTCACCATTGGCTCTTAACTAGGTAGACATCTTTGTAGGGCTCCATTATTCCTCCAGGTGGCCCACATAGGCAAGTCCTTTAAGATGGCTTTAGATTGGTGTTCTCTTTCATGACATCCCAGATTGGGAGCATAGGAGACAGTTATGCATCCTTTCTTCCCCCAAACTCTGGGAGTACAGACTCTTTGCCATGCAGCCACCTCTTCTTGATGACCTGAGTAGCCACCTAATAGCAGCCAGGTGCGTGTAGGCTTTGACTTTTCTAGGTACAGGTCCCCTAGGTACTTCAGTCTCTTGGGGACGAAGATTGCGTTCTCCAAGCGATTTTCATTAAACCTCTTTTGCTCATCTTGACGTCACTATTCCTTCTTCCCCAAATACGCAGAGAAAATGGAATCCACAAAGACCTCTTTCCTCTGATTTCTACCTTCCTTTGACCTATCCAACCTCTTTTATAGGCTGAAGGCGGTTGCTAGTTAAGGTTCCCCAAACTGTTTTTCAGTTACCCCCTTGCAGATCCTGCTGAGGGAGCTAGGCCCCTCACTTTAGAATTTGCAGCAGTTGGTGCCTATTATCTTGGGACCTTAGCCAATATGAGCACAAGTCTCATTGTAGCTTTCTGTTAATGATATATCTAGGAATGGTTAAGGTTCTATGCATGGGAAGAGGCTGGGGGTAAAAAAGAAAAGTCTAGAATGCATTAAACTTTGAGAAGAGTTTTGAACAAAACCTTCAAATTCGTAGGCATCTGACTTTCTTTATTTCTATTAATTCTCAAGTCCTCCCCTATTCCTCTACCCTTTAGAATATTGGAATAGTTCCTGGAGATGCCGACAGTGGCTGTAACACTAGATAAAAGCTTCAGTAGCCCTCACTGTTTCTTTCCCATTCCCCAATTCCCCACAACAGAGACTGAAGGGCCCGAACCAAATAGGTCTTACATATCTTTTGGGACTCAGAAGAAATGTCCCTATGGTATTTTTATCAGTTCAATTACAAAAACTACAGTGAATGCAAATTGTTTTAATGCTTCTTCTGTGAGAATGAATCTTGCAGAGAACTGACACTTTTAGTGACCAAAGCACCAGAGAATTATTTCAAAGGAATTTTTATAATACACATACCAAGCTTACATAAACACTGAGAAATCCCTAAGCAGCAATTCTTAGATGATGGTCAAGCTGCAAGGATTTCTGCCCCCAAATTATTAGAGGTTTAGGAGAGAACATGCAGATAATCTAACATCCGTATTTTTCTCTTGAATACCTAAAGAAAGGATAATAAATAGTATGGATTGACAATCAGTTACTAACTAAAATAGTCCCATTGTAATTTTAAAAAACTGGGTTATAAAGACTATGTATTTATCTAGTGGCAAGACTCCTGAGGATTTCCTGCACTTTGCTACTAGAATATGAGGCCGTAGAGTCAAAAGAAGAAAAACAAAGCATCACTGATCATCATCCTTAGTAGGTTAAGGAATGGTTGTACTCAAGCAGGAGGAATGTTCTAGAATTTCTAAGACAGGCAGTATTATTATTTAGCATGGACCTTCAGGTGTAATTTCAGTCTAAGTAAAGACTTGAATACCTACATAACTGAAAACCTTAGTGGGATTGTCCTCTTCTTTCAGGAATATGGCACCATATTCTGTCCAGCTCTGTTTCTCTTTTAAGAAATTCCCATTCTCTAATGTCTTAGCAAGAAAACTGGTTATATCCTTATTTCCAGGGATATGAAAATGTTAAAGAAATTCACAGTGTAGACTTATCATGTATTAATTAGTCTTTGAAGGCTGACATTTCAGCTTAATATTCATGTTTCACATTTGTGACTCTTTTTTCCATAGGTGGAAGCCAATCAGAGGCTGAAGTCAGGCAGAAACAACAACTCCAACTGATGCAATCTAAATACCAGCAAAAGGTCAGATTCCATGTTTTTTAGTTTAATTTTGGCAAGGAATTTGAGTACCAGCACTTTCAATAACCATGGAATAATACAGTAACTTTACCCAAAACATAAAACCTTTAAATCAATTGCAAAAGGAGACTCTCACAATCAAAGAAATTAGGAAGTGAGAAGTGAAGAGACAGATATCTAGAATTCTTATCCAAGGCGTATGTATCAATCAGGAGGACCCTTGATAAAGGGATTTACTGTTTATAGCTTAACTCTACCATGTTTTGAATGTTTTAGTCCAAGAACATGGATTTGTTCACCTAATGCCTGTCATGAAAGTAGTAGAGAAAGATTTAAGATGCCAGTGACTTTTTTTAAAATAATGAACTCTATGAATTTTATAATAAGGAAATATCTATCTGTTCTTTCTCTCCCCGCAACCTGGGCGGGGGGTGGGAAGACAGAGACCAAGGAAAAAACACAAGAGATTAATTTCACGGGCAGGGGATGCAGCTTGACCGTCCTCTGTGATCTAAGTAGCTGGAAGTGCCAACCTATAATCATGGTGAGGTGTATGCCTTTCATCATAATTTTGTGTTCCAGAAGTTCAGACTGAAAAATAGTAACTGTGTTTTGTCCTCTGTAATTTCAATACAATTCAGCTAAAAAGAGAAGAATCTGTAAGAATCAGGAAGGAAGCGGAAGAAGCCAAAATGCAAAAAATGAAGGCAATTCAGAGAGAGAAGGTAAGACGGTAGAAAGGATGATGAGCTACCGTTTACGGAAGGCTTACTGCGTGCCAGGTTCTCTTCTCCACACTGCCCACACACAAATTCATTTAATTCTCACAATAACCTTATGAGTATATGTTATTCTTATTACCTAAGTTTACAAACGAGGAAACTGGCAGAGAGGATAGATAACTTGCCCAAGGGCTCATGGCCAGTAAACAGAGGAAGTAGGATTCAAATCCAGGCAGACTGGCCTCCAAGCTAGAGTTCTTAGTGACCACACTGTCTCACTTCCCAGGCAAGTGATCCAAGTAGGGGCTATGTATTTGACCAGAAGGCAAAGTAGTTAGTAACGATAACATTCGGGGCACTGCCATGTTTATATCCAAATATTGAATTTTCTGGGATGAGTGTATAATAGGTGAACACACCTCTCTTCCTGATAAAAGAAAAAGTGTGCATTTGCATTTCAGTATTACTGATAGGATCTATGCAAAATCTCAAAGCGAAAGATGTTTTTCATTTTGATAACTCTTTCTGGGGCTCGGCCAAAAAAATCTCTTAAAAATGCTTTTCGGGGTGCCTGGGTGGCTCAGTCGGTTAAGCGGCTGCCTTCGGCTCAGGTCATGATCCTGGGGTCCTGGGATCGAGCCCCACGTCAGGCTCCCTGCTCAGTGGAGAGCCTGCTTCTCCCTCTCCCTCTGCCTGCCACTCTGCCTACTTGTGCTCTCTCTCTATCTCTCTGTCAAATAAATAAATAAAATCTTAAAAAAAAAATGCTTTTCTGCTACAGAAGAAGGAAGAATGTAGTGTTGTTCTACCCCCACCTCTCCTTCCTCCTCCCATTCTCCACAAAGTCCTAAGCTGTAATAGGTTTTAAGTACTGGAGGTATGGGGGGGGGGGGGGGGCGCCTGGGCGGCTCAGTCAGTTAAGCGTCTGCCTTCGGCTCAGGTCATGATCTCAGGGTCCTGGGATTGAGCCCCGTGTCGGGCTCCCTGCTCAGTGGGAAGCCTGCTTCTCCCTCTCCCACTCCCCCTGCTTGTGTTCCCTCTCTCACTGTCTCTCTCTGGCAAATAAATAAATAAAATCTTTAAAGAAGAAAACAAAATACTGGAGGTATGGGGACGTTGGCTCATGATACTCACCACTGAGCATGGTACCTGCTGCAAGTATAAGTCATGGAAACACCGTTCCTATTCTTGCTGTCTGCCTGCCTGTCTGTTTGCCTCTTTCTCTCTCCCTCCTTCCCTTTCTTTCTTTTTTTCTTTTAAAGACTGAGTATTGGTCAAAATTTAAGCCTGGTTACCGAGCAATAGATATTTTTACCAGTTGGAGTTAATGAAGCCAAAATGTGATGGCTTATAAAACACATGCGAGTATATGAGTCTTTTCTGCTGTCCACCTGGCTGGTGAGCAGACTGTCTTTCTTGTAAGGTATTTGGTTATGTTGTATGATCTTGGGCAGCTCCCCACCATGCCCCTAAACTAAGCCCCACCTCCTCCTCTTCTCTCGTGGCTGGGAGCATCTGTAGATGGAGATGTGGGCTCTGGCGTGGAGATAAGACTGGACTTCTACATGAGGAACTCTAATGAAATGCTGGAGGTGCAAGAAGAGTATAAGAACTTTTGCTTGCAAAATTTGATTTGGCAATCTGTTTCCAATTGATCAGCTACTACACCTTCACTGAAAAGATTTTTATTACAATAATTCATTTTTAACCTTTAAAACATTGTTTGTTTGTTTGTTTTTCCACTTCTCTATTCCCTATCCTTTTTCACCCAACTCCCCCCTTTCATTTCTTTTTCTTCAAAGGAATGCTCACACTTTGGTCTTGTGATTGTAGAGAAGGTTTCCCATTTACATAGTCAGTCTGCATTTCGGGGGGAATTAAGAAGGTCATCCAGCCATCACCAGGAATTGAATTAAGAGGCTTGCAGATCCTGAAGAATTACTGTGTTGCAACTTCTCCTTCTAAAAGCCATGCATTAGTGGTCATTTAATACCCATCATTGGCTGGCTTATGGGTTATTTATAGCTCATTTCTTCCCGGGGTCAAATAATGTACACTATTCAGAAATGCTGGTGGCTGAAGTGGCTTTCTTTCACATTGAGTAAAAGCAACATTTTTCTCGGGTGCCTGGGTGGCTCAGATGGTTAAGCATCTGCCTTCAGCTCAGGTCATGATCCCAGGGTCCTGGGATCGAGTCCCGCATCGGGCTCCCTGCTCCTTGGGAGCCTGCTTCTCCCTCTGCCTCTCTCTCTCTCTCTCTTATGAATAAATAAATAAAATCTTTAAAAAAAAAAAAAAGCAACATTTTTCTCTTTCCAAGTTGTACCGTAGCACTAGATGCATCACAATCATTAACTACAGAAATCTTAATTGGGTTGGCTTTTCTAATGTGATAACTGTAATGATTATTGGTATAATTTTGTCCCCAAGTGAAAGATGGGGAGAGAACATTGGTATGTTGATCCTTCCCATTCAAAATGTGTTCCTTGAAGCAGCGACATTGGCATCACTTGTTAGAAATGCAGAATCTTGGGGCGCCTGGGTCGCTCAGTCGTTAAGTGTCTGCCTTCGGCTCAGGTCATGATCCTGGAGTCCCGGGATCGAGTCCCGCATCGGGCTCCCTGCTCGGCGGGGGGTCTGCTTCTCCCTCTGACCCTCTTCCCTCTCGTGCTCTCTGTCTCTCATTCTCTCTCTCTCAAATAAATAAATAAAATCTTTAAAAAAAAAAAAGAAAAAAAAAAAGAAAGAAATGCAGAATCTTGAGACCCCACCTGAGACCTTTTGAACCAGGACCTGCATTTTAATAAGCTCCCCAGTTGATTCTTAGTGCATAGAAAAGTTGAGGAGCATTAATGTAAGCTACTGAACAAGATAAGGAGCAGCCTGCCCTGGTCCTTCCATAGACTTGATTTCTCTGGTTAATTGCCCTGTGCTGCCACCAGGACCTAGCTCTTCCTGTTGGATACACATCTGTGGCTTTTCCTACTAAATGTGAGCCTATTTAGTAGCTTGTGTCAGATAAAAATGGACATTAGCCATCTAGAAATGGCATACTTCACATTGCCAGTGTGGAAATGGCCAAGGGAAGCAATAATGGTGATGCTTATGGAGCATTTATTCTTTAAAATGCACAGCAAACACCCATATGGACAGCAGCCTGCAAAATACCATCCTCCTCTCCAGGCAAATGGCTACTGTCCAGGAACTCTGGGTCAAGTAGAAACCAAGCAGCCTATTGCCACCTGAGAGTCCCTAGCTTGGCCTCTGGTCTTAACCCCCCCTGCCCTTCAGTTCTCCCTCTCCCAGGCGGGGTCACCATGGAACACGGGTCTCTAATTGGTCACAACCTGTGTGTGAGTGAGGGGAGAGTAAACTATATTCCCTGCTAGCACATGTGAGTGGTCTTTGATTTTTAATAAGCACAAGGGTGTGAAAGGCAGCCAGCTCTTTAGCATCTGGTCATGTCAGTGGGTTCAGGGAGAGTTAGTCCTATAGCTGAAGGGGAAATTTGTAAAGGGCACTTGGATACTCCAATCAAACTTTTATTTTCTGTACTAGGGTATGTTGATGTTATGTGTTCTTCCCCTGGTGTGTACTAGAGCTCCTGGACTTCATCTTGGTAACTTGAAACTGACCATTGTGGGAATATTTTCACCCCAGAAATCAGTAAATGCTACAAGTCAACCTTCCCCTCCTCCTCTTTGCTAGAGCTGGTTGCTAAGTTTATCAGCACACCACTGCTTTAGCCCTAAGTGAAAGAGGGCCTCCCTCACCTTCCCCTACCACACACATTCCAAAGCCAAGCCTCTGAGGGCTAAGAAGGGCAAAGATTTCGTGAAGTATTGGCATATTATATGTCTGACGCTTACCGATATAAAACTAGATTATAACCCATGTAGTAGGCAGAATAATGCCCCATTCCCTGTCCCTCCACATTCTAATCCCTGGAACCAAGGAATATATTATGTTACCTGGCAAAGGGTCGGGGCGGGGGGATTACATTTGCAGGTGGAATTAAGGTTGCTAATCAGCTTACCTTCAAATAGAGAACCTGCATTATCCAGGTGGCTCCAGTGTAATCGAACTGAAAGAGGGAGGCGGGAGATTGAGAGCTGAGGAGGTGGCAGCAGGAGAAAGATCCACCTGCCGCTGTTGGCTTTAAGACGGAGGAAGGGGCCATGAGCCTAGGAATGGAGGTGGCCTCTAGAAGCTGGAAAAGGCAAGGAAAGGTTCTCCCCTGGGGCCTCCAGAAGACAAGCAGTCCTTCTGACACCTTGATTTTAATCCAATGACCCCATCTGGGACTTCCGACCTCCAGAGCGGTAAGATTATTAGAGTGAACTTGCATTGTTTGAAGCCAATAAGTTTTGGCGATTTGTTACAGCAACAATAGGAAGTTAATACAACTCATGTGGTTTTATGATAATGTATTCGCTTCTCTTTCTGGAAATCTGTAAGACAGAGAAAATATCCCTAAACTATTAGAACATCAGAGTGAAAGAAAATGGTTAAACAAAGGCAGCGTACCAGGTGTAAGTACTTCCTTTGCCAACTGGAACTTGCAGGATAAGTACACAGGTTTTCATAAATCCTCACAAGGCCTTGGCCTGAATTTTGTGCTGTGGGAGTAAACCTCCACCATGATTTTCCCTCATAATTACATGGATGGATTAGGTAATAATTCGATTTTTTTCTCCCCCAGGCTTTCCTGATACCCACACACTTGAAACATGAAAATCTTCCAATTCCATGTTAAAAACCCTCCCTGCCTCCTGGATTCCTCTTCTTCTGCCTTTGATCTACTTATGTTTGAAATGATATTACACAGTGGTATATAGTTTATAAATAATTTCATTTAATACTGAGGACCTTTTGTGGTCTTATAACCTCAGAAAGGGCAGGAAACCAGCCAGAGACCTGGGCGGTATCTGATGACTCTCCTTCTTTCTAGTAAACTCTAAAGTCCTAAAGCTGAGAGTTACTTGGAGCAATGGAGGTCACCATTTTTTATGCAGATGCTGAGAAGCATTGCTAGTTTTAAAGTTTTTTTTAAGTTTAAGTTTTTCTACCCCCACCCCATCTCAGAGGGAATAAGAAAGTGCTTTTCTTTGTCGCTACGATGGATTCTTCTACTTGTGTTTATTATCTCCTCTTCCCTCCCATCTCCTCAGGAACCTTGCTGCTCCATCAGTTAAGCCCCCTTTTTTCTTGTTACTTTCCTGTCCCCCAGCCCCCAACCCCTCTGTCTCTTGGGACATAATCCTACTCAGTTCTCTTAAAAACAAAGGGTCTCTCTCTGTTCTGGTTTGCTTTCAACTCCTCCCTGCCAAGTATCATGGCCCAACTGCTTGAAAGCCTTTCCACCACATTTGGTTCCCAAATGCCAGTCTGTGGACCGACTTCTAGCAATCACCTAAACCAAAGGATCTCTTGCTTTTAAAAATGTCCCTTAGGTGATGCTGAGTGCAGCTGGCCTAGGGACCTGCCTTCTTTGAGTTCTCATCTCTATTTGTTCCTTGGTGGGCTGAGTTTGATTTCTGTCTCTGGTACCCCACTGGTACTGATCTAGCTAAGAGCACCAAAGGTGCTCTTAATTTAAAAAACCTAATGGAGACTCTAATTTCTAATTTATTTAAACTCTTTGTAATATTGTAACTATTAAGTACTCTGTCCTTCAAATTCCACCTCTCTGGATTTCCAGATCCTCCCCTCACCCCACATGTTTTTCTACTATTGATGTTCTATCTAGGTCCTATCTGTTGGTCTTCTCTCATCCCTGTACCTATCCAACCACAGTCTTGGGTGAAAGTCCTCACATTTCCACATTTAAGGGTTAGTTAATCCTTGTGCTGGTGATTTCTGAAGTCTGTATCTCTAGCCCATATTCCTGAATCCCAGAACCACGCATTCTACTGTATGCTTGATATTTCTCTCTAGATGTGCCACAAGTAGATCTCAAATCCAGTAGGTTCAAAACCAAACTTCTGCTCATTCTGATGCTCTTAATGGCCATCCTCTTGTACTATTCCCCCTTGCCTCACTCATCCTTCATTGATATAGTCTACCTCCTATTATTTCTTTTTTCCCCTCTATTATTTCTGTTCCCTGCATTTTTCTAGAGTTTGCCCATCCTTCTCTGTCCCCGTTGCCTTAATTTGGGACTCATAATTTATGGCCTGGATTATTGTGAGAATCACTCCATTGGTTTTTATATTTGTGGTCCTTCCTGCAGTTTATTCTCCACATTGCTTTCAGAGTGAGCTGCTTACTGTCCTGCTTAAAATAACATAATGGCTCATCATTGCCTTTAATGAAGTCCAAACTCCTTTACTTGGCATATAAATTCCTCTCTAACCACCCTTTCCCATTTCTTCAACCTTATCTTTACTACAAACACATTTCAATTTATCCATGAGCTTCTCAGAGTTCCCTAAACAGGCTTATTCTCTCATGTCTTTGTTTACTGAAAATATTGTAAGTTATGGGAATATCCCTTTCCTATAGGTCCCAACTATAGCCCATCATTGCCTTTGTGCAAATTAGAAGCAGATTCTTCATGCAGGCCGTCAGTTCTGTGGGTGCTCAGGTTGGTGGCTGGTAGTACTCTTGTGGGACATAGAAAAAGATACCTGTGCTGTGCTGAGACACCCCGTGCTGGGATATTGGGCTTGGTGAGCTGAATGCCAGCCCTCTTTTAGCCTCCCCAACCCCTTTCCTGGCCCCCCTGAGTAGTGAGCAACCTGTGTAATGGAGTGAAGTAGCCCTGCTCCCATCAGCTCCTCCTCCTGGAAAACTTGCTAAGATTGATATCTGTCTCGAATTTAGATCATGGTTCTTATCCTTTAATTTGGTCATCAGGCCCTTGGTGCATCTGAAGAAAGCTATGGATGAACCCACTCTCCGTAAAAATGAGCATCCTCTTAACACAGAGTTTACTCATGAACCCAAGGTTAGAAACCACATTCTGAATGTTAATCAACTTGGCTCCTGTGCCCAGGATGGGGTCTGCCACTTAGTGGACACTAGATTAATGTTTGTGGAACTGTTGAAAGCACTACTTTATGCTTTTTCTCTGGTCATATTGTTTACAAACCTCTATCCCCCCACATATTTTATACATTGCCATCATTTCTTTCTTGTCTGTGTTCCCAGCTAGCCTCTGAAATTTTCCAGAGGAGGCACTGCTCTGTTCATATCTGTATTCTCAGCATCTAACATAGTACCAAGCTTATAACAGGCATTTGATAAATGTTTGAACAAATGAGATTCAGTAATATTAAATGATTTGCTTAAGGTTACTCAGTGGTGGTGGATCTGGAGCTGGTTACATAATTTTTTCTTTTAGAACCCATGCTCTTAGATATTTTAATTAATTAATTAGAGTGTGTGTGCATGTGCAAGCAGGGTGGGGACGGGCAGAGGGGGAGGGAGAATCTTAAGCAAATTCGACACCCAGCACGGTGCCCCACGCTCAGTGTCATGACCTAAGCCGAAACCAAGAGTTGAACACCAACAAACTGAGCCACCCAGGTGCTCCTAGACATTTTACATTTATATATATATATAAAGTATGGTTGGATGACTCCTTAATTCTCTGTTATATGGAAAGAAATAAATAGTATGACTAAATGTAAGTATTCAGATTAGTATAATAAACAGCTCCTACATTGATAGGTATTGAATATAATTTCTTAAATACTCTGGTATTTTGCAAAATACTTCTCCATCGACTTCTGAGGGATAAACAGATCTTTTTGTACAGAATTTAGCTACTGAGTAACTTTTCATGAGTTGAATTCAATGATAATCTATTAGTGAAGAGATCAAAACTGGTTTTCCAATTTTTGACCTTGCTAAAGGAACCTAGCCCTGGTCTCCAGATGCTTGTGTGGTTTTCTCGCTATTTTCAAAGTAGCATTCCTTACAGAGGTTCAATGAATCCCTACTGCTTGCTTGCTGTCTTTTACTGCCCCCCACTTTTTTCCAGAGATGTAGGGCCTCATCACAATTGATCATGTTGGCCTCATGAATCAGGATTTTTTTTTCTAGGTTGAGAGCCTGTTGATTTGGTTTCACAATTCTCTATTAGTTTACTTCCTAGAACTTGTTTCATGAATAATTCAATTGCTTTGTATTATAATTGATTCCTTTTGTAATAAACCTCCTTTGTTTTTTTCTGAAACTGAAACCTCCATTTTACTTTACTTTTTTTTTTTTTTTAAAGATTTTATTTACTTATTTGACAGAGAGAGAGAGAGCGTGCACTCGTGCACGCACAAGCAGGGGGAAGCGGCATGCAGAGGGAGAGGCAGGCTCCCCGCTGAGCAGAGAGCCTGATGCAGGACTCGATCCCAACTCTGGGATCATGACCTGAGCCGAAGGCAGATGCCCAACTGACTGAGCCACCCAGGCGTCCCTCCATTTTACTTTTCAAAACGGGACTAGTAAGTGGTTCTGTGTGAATGAAGACTTCCATGGAAATGAACAACATGAACAGTTTTTCCCCTTCTTCAAAAGATGGAGCCAAACTTATGTCAGGGTTTAGAAGTAATGATTTCCATTATTCCCTTTTCACAGGTCTTCCTGCTAGGCAAATCCAGTTCTTTCATTAAAGCAAACCCAGCTGCTTGCTGTCTCCCTTGGATTCATTTAAAACTTCAAGTCTCTCCTGTGTGGTAGCACTTGTTTTAACTCACATTAAACTTGTTCTCTAGGAACTTCACTTGTTTTTCATAGGCAAGTTTAAAAAAAAAAAAAAGACAGTTATGTCATAGTGAACAAAAAGCTCCAGGGTTATTTAAGTTGGATTAAAATATGCCAGAGCCTTGGTGACAGTAATATCAAATATGAAGTCCTTTGTTTTTAGGTTCGCCAAACAACTAATTAAAAAAACTTTTTCCGTTCCATTTTTTATGACATTTGCTGTTCAGTCTCTCAACAGCTTTAAGTATCTGATTCTAAGTCAGGAGGGAGTTGAGTCGGCTTATTGAAAATCTTTTTCTGAATGCTTTAATGGAATGTGGGTGGGATATATATATCTATATATATAGATATATAGATATGTATATACAAACACACATATATATAATTTTTTATGAACTACTTAACCATTTCTTATAATTTTCATTCAACATACTTGGTGTGGAAATTTCATATTTCCCTTAAACCACCTTGAAAACACTTCTTAAAATATAAATGTTGCCATCATTTGAACTACAGAATAAAAATGTGAATACTGATTCTGTGATTATGCCAATCAAGTTGGGAGAGGGGAGCCGTGGCAGGAATCTGGGGCTCCTGGCTTTCGGTAAACAGTACCCATGGGTTGAGAGGACACATCTTGGAAGCCCTGCTAGGTACCATCTTGGACTACTGGGGCCACTTGAACTTAAGGATTTTGGACCTTGGTTAACTTTAACACCATGATTCTGCTTAAAGCTTCCCTAATAGGTGGCATTTTGATATTTGCAATTTCAGAGCAATAAACTAGAGGAGAAAAAAAAACTTCAAGAAAACCTCAGAAGAGAAGCATTTAGAGAGCACCGGCAATAGTAAGTTTGTATCTTCAGAACTTTGTACCTTTATAGGCATATTGTTCATCTGCTTTTAAGTTCTAGGTGCTGGTAACTGTTTAAGACCTCTGGTATTGGATTATTGGCTGTTACATTAATTATGTAATTAAACTCTGTCATTATGTAAGTGAGGTTCTGAGGTTCACGGAGTATTCTTTAGTAGTTAATCGATTTGAAATAAGACTGCTAAATTTGAGAAATTCCCCATTCTAAATAACTAGGAGGACTGATTCTTTGGTGATCCAAGGTACTTCTGATAATGTCGACTTTCAAAACACTGATATAAAGAAGATGATATTTGAAAAGAAGTACCCAAGCAGAATCTGAACTAACTAGGGGTTTATCTAATGCACTGGGGACTAGTCACACTTGTATTTTTGTAGACAAAAATTGAGAAATAACTTAGCAGTTACTGGCAAAATTTCCAGTTGGTGGTCATCCACCAAGGTACTTTTTCTAGTAGGACTTGTGAATATCAGCAGCTAATATGTATAGGGCAACTACTATGTGCTATATTGTAGGTAATCTACTCTGTTATACAGGCTTTAAAGATAAGCTCCTGTCCTAACTCAAAGTAGCTAGATTACCTGCAAGCTGCTTAAAAGAATAGAAAAAGCCCCAAACCATATTTTTATTATAACTTAGGAATATATATATATAAAATACATAACCTAGAAATTAACCTAGGTTAATTCCAAATGTGGTAGAATTAAAACCAAGCATATCTGGATTCAAAGTCTTAGCTCCATTCCCCAACTGTGACCTTGGACAGAGTATGAAACCTCATTTTTTTTTTTTTTTTAAATAGGGATGACAGTATCTCTCCCACAGGCCATTTGTAAGGATTAAATAAAATATTTCACATAAATGGCATATAAGTGCCTGAATTTTATGGAAATGGAACTATGCATAGGTGTCTTTGTTGAGTGGATCAGACAGCTTCTGTTTTGTAGTGACTATTATGTAGAGATTATTCTGGTCCCACCCAGAACTGGCAATTGGCCTCCACTTTCGGGTGGATTGTTATCTGACTCCCTCCTCTTCTCTCTTCCCGTCGTTATACCTCATTTTCAGAATTTAAGATCATTCTCTTATTGGGGTGAGCATATGTGACACCCTAAAGTATCTTGCGTCCTCTGTTTTTCTCATTCCATGGCAATTATCCTGCCTCTATCCTAAGCAGCTCTTTTGCTTCAAGTCTCCGAGGGAGGAGTGGGAAGGAGTTTCTCAATGCTTTACTTTGCCTCTTAGCAAGTGAGGTACTTGGTTGTCTTCTGCTACCCAGGCCAGAAAAATGGGAGATGGAATGTGTTGGGTAGAAGTGCCAATGAGTGACATTATCTTTCTTAAGTTAAAATAAACGTTGCCCTCACTTGAGTCATAGAATCCATAGCCTGTTTTTCCCTGCTGTTCTTCTAAGACTGGTATGGGACTGAGGGAGCTGGTGGGAATCTAAGGAGAAGCAGTCTTAGAGAGAGAGATGGCAGGAGAGAGGCAGTAGATCAAGGGTGTTAATATATTATTGCCTTTCCGTTCATTGGTATAGGATGGATGAAAGTATTTCTAGGCCAGCCAGAGGAGTTGAAGGAGACAAGGGGATGCCATGGGGGCAGTAGTAGGCTAGAGAGAGTAGGCAGTAGTAGGCTAGAGAGACAATAAAGACAAATGTATTTATCCTGTGTCATTCTAGCTTCACTGGAAAAGGAAAGAGCTGCTTACCAATGAAGGGTCTTAGGTATAGGACTAGGAGTTTGAACAAGCCCATTTACTGGAGCCTTTTAAGCATGGTAAGGTGAAGGATGAGAGATTCTCAGAATCTAAAGAACATGGGAGGTTATGTGACCCACGCGCCTTTCTTTCATAGTCTCCAGCTTCTTGAGTTGTGTTTTACTAAATACTAGAGATCAATCACCCTTTTTCTCTGAAAGAAAAAAAAAGAGTTTTACCCTCAACCACCTCCTATACCATCAGTGGAGATGAATTCAATTACACGCACATTTCACTCTTGCTCTTTCTTCTACTTATCATGAAAGTCCCAGTTAACCAGGAAAAAGGAGTTGACTAAAAATGAGAAGTATCTCAAATTGATTTTTAAAGTCTATTGAGGAACATAAAATATATGTGAGTTTTTTTAAAGATTATTTTGTTTTGAACTACTTTTGAAATTAAAAGACTAATAGCTCATGAAATGAATGATCATTATCTAGCTAGAAATATGAAAGGGACTTCTTGGAAAACATGGATCCTCGGCATAACAAGCCTCTATCATACCTTCTTATAAGTGGTTTATGGTTCAAAAATTGTCTAGGGGAGCTGTTAGAATTCTAATTGCACAAAGATTTCACCAGACCAACCAGCCTATTCCACATTTCCCAATGCTCCCTTCCTCCACCAAAAGAATTAGATTCTCCTGAAGCTTTCAAACCAAGCAACACAAAATAGAAACACAAGTAAGAAATTCTTTCAAACTAGTCAATACCTCATGTCCTTGCTAGTTTCAGCATGCTGTGAAATGTGGTTCAAATAGCAGACCAGGAATGGTGTTTTGTTTTTGTTTTTTTTTTTTGTACAGAAGTGCATCCATGGACTTGAGCAGACTGTAAATCCAAGCTGCTGGAGAAAAAGCTCATGATAGCATCCTGGGGCACTACCATGAGAATCTTAATGTGCTCTTTCTTTCTTTCTTTTTTTTTTTTTAAGATTTATTTATTTATTTGAGAGAGTGAGAATGAGAGAGAGAGAGAGTACATGAGGGGGGGAGGGCCAGAGGGAGAAGCAGGCTCCTCGCCGAGCAGGGAGCCCGACGTGGGACTCGATCCCGGGACTCCAGGATCATGACCTGAGCCGAAGGCAGTCGCTCAACCAACTGAGCCACACAGGCGTCCAATGTGCTCTTTCTTAACACCTTATTCCTGACTTTGTTCATTTGCTTCTGATTATTTTTAGTGTTGTCAATTATTTAGCTAACAGGCAGAAAACTAGGCTTTTATTGACATCCAAAGGGACTCTCCTGAGTGTAATAATGAAGGCAGTTTATTGAATGCCTGTGAGGTTGCTTTCTAATTGTACGCATTAATCTGCCCATGCAAGCTGGCTGGAAATACACAAGCAGATTGTGTGTGCAGATGGAGCACACAGGATGGCTTTTATGAAAAGACCTCTGGAATGTACTTCTGCAGTACTGTCTTTTCCTTAAAAATCGAATGACTGTGACTATTTCAATTGGCAGCTGAGAGCAGACCAGATTAATGGTGCATTAAGTCTGCTACTCTGGCTGGGGACAGATTCATTTCACAATTTAGAATTAGTTCTAGGATTCTTGAGCATGAAAGCAGAGGGTAGAAATAGGCCTCTAACCCTGGTGTAGTTTTCACCATTATTTTTACTCTCTCTACTTAATTACTTATAAAAAGTCAAATGTGGCACTTTTCAGGATGGCCTTTTCTATTAATATTACTGGTGGATTTGAGCATTTGAAATAATAATTAATAAACCTTTGGCTGTGCTTTTTAAAAAAAATATCAAAGGGAGGATGTTGGGATTTAGGTGATTTAAAACACTTGAGTAAAATCTCAGCATTTAGAATTTTGAATGGTAGCTTATTTTGAGGGTTATAGTCATCTTTCTAATAATGTCTTTTGGATAGATGGAGAGAGGGGTTTGAATTCTGAGCCTATTTAATCGGTGGTGGGGGCTCACGTAGGATGGGAGAAAACGGATGCGTTTCTTCCTACCAAGATCTAAATTTTGCCTAGAGTAAGTAAAAGAAAAATTGAGGAAGTATGGGTGCTTCCTCTGATTTTCAACATATATGAATGCCATCCTCTTCCAGGTCTGACACTGAGTTAGTACCACAGTTAAACTTAGGGTCCGTGGGCTTTTGTGATCTCTCTGGGCTGTACTCTATTCCTAGATACTGTTTCTAATACTTCTAGGGGAGAAGGGGCTCAATTCTTGAAACCCCAGCTCAAAAAGCTCTTGGAACCATGTTCATTCCAAAACAGCACCACCTTGAGCTCAGCCTTTCGGTTGCAAGGTTGGGAAGTTTACTTCGTTGCAAGGTTGGGAAGTTTACTTCGTTTCTACCATCAGAGCCATGCATCTCTTTTATTTCCATTTAAATAATAGTATGATTAGTTCCTCGGAGGCACATCTTCATCTATTTTAGTTTCCTAGAGTGGAGGACCCAGGCAGGTCTGCTGAATATGCACACTTAGGCCCCAAGTTTGCCTTCTAATATGCTCACAAAACTTCTAATGCCCTTCCTGGGAGCTTCCAAAAGACACTTAAGGGCTAAATCGATCCCTTATCCATATGGTAGGATTAAATCCAACTTCACATTTTATAATCCAAGTAAGGTGAATCCAAAGTCATCCTGTTCATAACTTTCTATCTTATGCTAATGAAGTGAACTTACAGATAGAAAAATCCCCTATTTTGTTCAGAATAAGACTGAATATTTTATGGGAAATCTGATCTGGGAGAATCCCTGCCTAGTGAATGTTAAATCGTGCTGATGGTTAAGACCGTATCAAAATCTCTACCCACTATTGGTTCTTCCTGCAGATGTCTTGGTGCACGTTAACTCATTTTCATTCCCGCTGCTGCCACCTTCATGTAGGTATTTATCACATGCCACCTGCGTTAGGGCTTCTGTCTCCTTGTCGTCCCCTGTACTCCTGGAATGGCTTCATTACCATCTCTGCCCACTGTCTTTTTCTTCTGGTTGCCTTACATGTTTTGTCGATTTCATTTTCTAAAGCACAACTTTAATCATGTTTAACCCTATTCTAAAACCCTCAATTATTTCCCATTTTTTATTAGATGAATTCCAAACTCCTTAACCATACCATGGGGGAACTGTGGCCACCTTGGTAAGAAGATATCAGACCATGCTAGGATTTGGGTCTGTGTCAGGTGATTGTAGGAGGCTTTGAGGAAGCAGGGCTTTGTTCTGGGTTGAATGGAGGCAGGAGTGA